GAATAATGTGCTTCCAACACCTTTAACAGATCCTTATAATCCTTGGAATCTACCGAATCTGGTGATACTAAGTCCGTGAGAACAGCCAGAGCTTTTGGTCCAATTACAGTAATCAAAATGGATAACTCCGATCCTTCCTTTACGCTGTTGGCCTTCAAGTAGTGTTTCAGCCTCATTAAATATGACGAAATATCCTCTTCATGAGGGTTAAATTCCCCCATACTCCCTATTGAACGGGACGACATGGTTCCTCAAATTAATTTTTCAACAATCCGCACTCGCGAAAAAGAAGTTGAACAAAATTTGACTACGACTGCGCCATTTGTAATAACTATTAGAACTACTAAGAAAACATGGCGACATCTGATTACGCACCTTGCTAGACTTGAAGTGAAGGTCATCAAGACGGAAAACTCCTTGACCGATCGGCAGCCAATCAGGGAGCTCCACGCCGATGTAGGCAGTGCAGCCACCCAGTAACTTAATCTGTTTCCGGTTACTAATAATCTAATATGGTCCTATTGCTACTATATTACACTAAGTTTTATTGAAACAAATAACATCTTGTCAAATAACCAATTTTGGTTCAGAAAAAACATGTCTACCTGTGATGCCATTTTTGCCCTTTTAAAGGAAGTATATAACCACCTTGACATATCTGACAGCTTAGTATGTCTCTTTTACAACATGACAAAGGCTTTTGATCTTCTTGACCACAGGATCCTTCTGGATAAGCTGCAAATGCTTGGCATTTCTGGAAACCCACTGCGATGGATTTCATCGTATCTTAAAGATCGGCACATGATTGTATCCTTGAAGCACAGAGGCCCTGACAACATCCTTCGGACATATAAATCGTCTCCATCACCAGCTCTGAACATCGGTGTCCCCCAGGGATCAAACCTTGGGCCCATCCTATTCCTGTTATACGTGAATGACTTGCCTGGCTCCATATCATCTGGAAATTTATGGCTTTTTGCCGATGACGCCTGTCACCTAGTCCCAAGCCCAAATCGAAACATCACGGTTGAAAACGCCCAAACTGGCTTGCTTGAAATGTCAACTTGGTGTAGCAAAAATCATCTGGTCCTAAATTCTAGTAAAACCAAATTAATGGAATTTTATAACAGGAAGAAGCCTGAACCACCTCCGATATTGACCTTGGACGGGGTGCTACTTGAAACCTGTAGTGAAACCAAATACTTGGGCCTACACATTACGGAGAACCTTAATTGGGGAACACATGTCGATGCAATAGCGCCCAGACTGTCATCTGTCACCTACCTGCTGTTTAGACTTCAAAAGCTGGTTGACATCGAGATTCTCCTTAAGGTTTATTATGGCTGTTTTCATAGCATAATCTCATATGGTTTGGTATTTTGGGGTGGTTGTAGTGAGGCAAAACGCATCTTCATCCTTCAAAAGCGTGCAATTAGAAGAATATGTTGAGTCCATAGACGGACACACTGTAAACCTTTGTTCCAAGAACTGAACATCCTCACACTTCCGTCCCTCTTTATATTGGAATCCGCATTGCTTGTTAAGAAGAACCCCAATATTTTTGTAACAAACAGCATGGTCCACAATTACAAAACAAGAAGAGCAACAAATCCACATGTATCTCAAGTAAATTCCACCCTTGCAAGCAAGAGCCCTTACTTCAATAGTATAAAAATTTACAATAAATTGCCTCAGTCAGTACATCACACAAGAGCCCTCTATCAACAAATTCAAGAACCTGCTAAAAACATTCTTAAGTCAAGTGGCCTACTACAGTGTAGATGAAATATATGTCTAGGCCATGTACAATCTTGAAGAGGAAATGAATCCATCTATATAAATTAATATGAAGAAATGTATAAAAACCTGACGACCACGTCGCTGATGCGATACCAGTGAAAATTATAAAAAAAAGGTCCAAGTATAAATTGGATGCAATTATTCCTTAAACGCAATAAGAGGTTTGAGATTGCGTAATCGTCAATCGTCTTAAAAGTGTTAAATTTTTTAATTACTAAACATGCATTTGAAGATGTGGAATGTTTATTAATTTTCTTCACTGTCAATAATATTATGCCTGCTTCGGAAATGGGAAGCTGATTTGCAATTTCGACTACATCTTGAGCAAACAAAACCACCTACCACTTACACCACTTTTAGCTGAACCAAACATATATATATTTTTCAAAGGTATTATACTGTACGTGATAACAAAAAAATTTCTACTTTTAAGAGATTTTTTAGTGCTGGTGGCTGAGGAATAACTTTCTTATTGTTCCAAAAGGCTTGGGACCTTACTGTATTTCGTTTTATAATGTAGAAGTACACCAATTGCAGGAAACGATGATGTCTGGCATTTCAATGTCTCTAGGAAAGACATTTAGTTTTTCATTAGGCCTAATATAATGGACAACTCATTGTTTTTTTTTTTGAAAATCCAAAAATGTTAATTTTTAATACCCATTGATTATGTAACCTGAACAGGTGACTTAAGCAGTTTAAAAATAATGATTGTTCTACTTTTGATTGTTTCAAACAGTTTTGCTTATCATAAAACTTCAAGTAATTAATACATAACAAATTAAACAGTCACTAAAAATCATGAAATAATTTATTTTTGTAAAAAAAATACAACCGACTTCAAATGCTCTAAAAAGAATGAAATAATTTCAATAAAGTAAACTTTTGTATTAGTCAAGCTCACGTATTTCAAGTCTCTAACTGCAAAAATATGAATAAAATAAAAGATATTGAGAGAGTATTTTGAAAATCAATAAATTATCGCTGGATAACATAAATATATAAAAAAACATACTGAACTGTTTTGTTTATATATCAAAGGAAGTATTTTCGATTTTCTTGTATTTTATGTTTACTTCAGAATGATTGCATAGTAAAAATAACACACACAAATGTTCTACATGAATAGGAAAATTATTTATTTTGATATTATGATAGGGAAAAGAAGCTAGTTTAAAATTAAAACGTTACTTTTCCAAGTTAGAAATATGTAAATACATTATAATCTTTTTAAAGATACTCGTTAATATCACTATAAGATTGTAATCACCTTTAGTTATAGATAGTCATCTGCAATGTGGACATCCTCTTTAAATTTTGTATCAAAAATCATCATAGAGCCGCGCCGACTTAAAATACGTGAGCTTGACTAATACAAAAGTTTACTTTATGGAAATTATTTAATTCTTTTTAGAGCATTTGAAGTCGGCTGTATTTTTTACAAAAATAAATTATTTGTCATTCTGGCTCAGATGGTTCATCTATTAGTAAACAAATATATTAGATAGTATTAATGTTAAAATATCTTACAATTTAAAGAAAACTTTGGCTTGTCTTATGCTGTACAGTACTGCTTGCCCTATTTAAGTAAGTAAAAAAAATGTAAAGGATATCCATTAAAAACCCCTTTTTTGGTGAATTTGTAACCAAACTAATTAATAACCCCGCTGCAGCAAACCTGCAGACTAACCGAATTTCCATTTGCCTGATTTGATTTTCAATTAAACCATTTCAAATAACATTAGGTTTAACGAGCACCTAGGTTTGCTGCCTACAGGGTAATAAAGTGTGCTTTTTTTATAAAATAATAATACAGTAGCTTGGTATAAAATAAATAGATTGGCCAAGTTTGATCCAAATATATGCATAAACAAGCAAACTACAACAGTCTAGTTATTCTCCATAAGAATAACATGGGAATTTTTAATTTACAATTTTCTCCATAACCAATAACCATACAAAAACACTACAACATACTGAATTATTTGTTTTTTTAAGCTCTTAAAAATGGTCTAAAGGAAATTTGGGTAATTTCATGTTTTGAGGGTCAAAAATGAGAAAAACCAATTTTTACCCCATAAATCCCCCCATAAAACCCCGTTCCCATAGTCCGATCATGGTGGTTCGCGAACTCGTTCGAATAAACGTAGGTTTACACGTTTGTACCAAATTTCATCGAAATCGGATATTTTTTGCTTGAGTTATCGTGCTAACGGACACATATATATATATATATAAATATATATATCTTTCAATATATATATGAATTTGAACGGATGGTATTTTTGGCTTCTAGGGACATCAAAATGAAATAGTAAATCGGTCCCGGGACTAAGCCTAACTATGAGACCTACGGTAATAGCTTATTCCCTATAGGGAAATTCGCTAATATATAAATATATATGAATTTGAACGGATGGTGTTTTTGGCTTCTAGGGACATCAAAATGAAAAAGTAAATCGGTCCTGGGACTAAGTCTTACCACGAGACCTACGGTAATAGCTTATTCCCTATAGGGAAATTCGCTAAAAACAAAACTCATACATCTAAATGTTTTTCGCAATTGGTTTTTAAACTTCACTAATCAAATTAAAAATATATTACACTGTAGAAAATGTAATCTACTAATTAAAAATTATCTGAATGTTGTTTTTAAAATTATATTACCATAGTGTGTCAAAGAAAAAAAAACTATGAAAATATAATCTTTAAAACACCACCGTTTATCAGAAGTTACACAAACTTATTTTGTTGCTTCGTGTTTAGCAAATGACTTATCATTGGAAGATATAAATGGTATTTACTTATTAGATAAATTCTAGATTAATCAAATAAAGGTAATTCTATAAATTAAAGTTAATTAAAAAAAAAAAAATTTAAAACATTCTGCGAACAAAGCGGATGTTAAAAAGTGTGATATGTCAGTGGTCACAATGCTATTTGAATGCTAAGGTAGGGTACACCACATGTGGTGGGGGGAGTGACGCGGCGGCGGCGGACTGTTTTCGCCTACCAGCCGAGCGTGATCCAGTTAGACTATATACATATATATATATATATATGTCTATATATATATAGACTATATACGATTATGTACATCGATGACAACACATACATGGACCCTAACACCACTACTTGGTTGATATAAGTTACATAATTATTCAGTGTTCTTAAAGTCACTAGTTTCCTTAACACAGCAGACTTCTCCGTTCCTGTGGTATTTCTACTCTGCCATCCCTCGTGGCCTTGGACTGTCAGTCTTACTGGTGCCTGTGGGAGCCTACTTTGACGTCAGAGTCAGAAGACTGCTTATTCCCTCAGTCGCTTTTGTATTTCTCTTCTCCTTTCTTCCTCACAAAGAGCTTCGGTTCATTATCTACGTTTTCCCTATATTCAACGTCGCAGCTGCATATGCATGCAATAAGATGTAAGTAGTAATTAATACGTAAATATTTAGGAGCTTTTCTATTTAAGAAAAAATGTTTTTTTATCTTTTGTCATTTTAATCAGTTATTCCTTTAAAGATACTGTTTAGAGATTCAAGACTCGTCGTTGTGTCATTGGATTTTTCTTTTATTTGAAGATAAAGAAAGCGAGGTGACGACTGTGTTACTATCTCACTCTCTCTCTAACTCTCTTTGTCTAGGGAAGTAAAATGCTGAAAGTAAAAGGGAAGTTGCTGGCGCTACGATCTTAGTGTCGGCTGTTTTCACTGACCCCTTTTTGTTAGCACCAAGTTAGCAACTGGAGATTCAAAAACAGTATGTGCTTACATGTGTTTCTTTACAATGTTGAGGTCACGCCAAACTATCTATATAAATAAAATTACAGTTTTGTCTGTACATTGCTTAGAATCATGCAGTTTTTGGTTTTTTTACGTTTCATAGCCTAAGAAAGCCGAAACGAGTCTTATCTCAATTTCTGTCTGTCTGTCTGTTTGTTTGTCCATTCTGTGATTCCGTCTGTAACGCCAAAATGTCATTTTACGCGGCCTACTCCTAGAAAACTAGAGTACCGATCAAGGTTCTAATCATTTTTCTTTATTTACTGGATTGGTGAGAGTGTCTTTGGCTATAAAAACATGGCCTCGCTTCTTTGAAAACAAAATAACGAACCATAAAAAATCCAATTTTGTTAGATTTTTGTCAAATTTTCTCCCAATGTTTACTATTACATTTGATGAAATAACGATAAGCTGATGGATTAGTTCTCACTTCTAGCTGTCACTGATATGTTTATATTAAAATTTGTTTACAAATACCGCAACCATTTCCCATCAAGTTTTGTTAGCACATCCAAACCAAGTGAGATTAAAAACGTGCTTTACTTAACCGGTTTAATTAATCACAAGTGCAACGATTGTTCTTGAGTTTTGATAACCGGGGTAAATACCGTGAATCTGTGTTGTATTAGTGCTGGGAAACTTCATTTTATTAATAATCGTCACCAATAGCTTACAAAAAAGGTTTCCACTCATTGACGGCGCTTCAAGGACAGTAAGTGTTAAGTGCAAAGTAAAAAATCACAACTGCAGTGGGTGATCGTGGATGTTGCTGCGATCTTGGAAGATCTTTCTGATTTCGCTGTGATCGTAACAGAGGTTTAACTTACAGATGTAGCTAAACTCGCTTTTCCAATGTGTCACTTTTGGTTTCTACTTACTCACATTTCGACAACGATATCGGTACTTTTTCTACTTAGGAAGTAAAACTACACAAACGTCCAAAACCTTTATCATGTGTAAGCAGTGAGAGTAAATATACGGAAATGGGATTTGTACAATTTTGTTCAGAATATAAAGGTCTATAACATACTAAATTTTTATCAAAATCGTTCGGGCCATTTTTGGGAAAATCCTATTTTTCCGTTATTTTATGGGGTTTTATGGGAAAATCCCCATTAAAAATCAAAATTTATAAAAAATGAAAAAAACTATCAAAACTGTAAGAACCATAACATACTATGTTAAATCAAAACTGGAGTTTTTTCTAAAATCCTATTTTTTGTTATTTTATGGGGTTTTTATGGGAAAATAACATAATTTACAATAACTTTTGAACCGTAATTTTTACAGAAATGGGATTTTTACCATTTTGTTCAGAATATAAAGAAGTATAATATTCTACATTTTTATCAAAATCGTTAGGGCCATTTTTGAGAAAATCCGATTTTTATGGGTTTTTATAGGAAAATCCCCATTAAAAATCAAAATTTCAAAAAAATGAAAAAAAACGCCTGGAGTTGTTTAGAGTGACAGAATATAGCAGTTCTGGCGGAGAACATGCCACTTGAGGTGGTTATAGTATACAAGTCCCTGAATGTAAAACCGCCCAGACCCCAATTTTCAAGGACCTCGGTCGACCGTAATGACGTCATCAAGATGGCGGCTGTAAGAGGATGCTGGATCGCCATGAATTGGTTATACAGTCGACCCCCTCTTAACCAACCTGGCATTAACCGATAATCGGATTATCCGCCCTTGATCGTAAAATATTACAGTTTGTGTTAACCGACCTTGCTTTGAGGGCAGTTCGGTTATCCGCCGCTTTTTAGGAATCTCGGGATTTCCGCTCCCACGCTTGGCGATGGTAACCACGCTTATCTCCACAGGATGTGACTAAGAATAGATTTTTTTTTGTATTTATCCCAAAAAATATTGCATGTTGCCAGTTTGTCATCTAGCGCAAGCACATCTGTGCGGCAAAATTGTAAAGTGTGTTACGATTTTTATATCTGATTATCTTATCGCTAGAGTAAATAAAAATGTAACTTGTAGGGAGGGCAGGGGATGAGGGTTAACAACTCCAAGGTCAAGATCGTGACTCGAGCCTCCAGTGAGAGGCTATAAATAAACATCTTGTCTCGTAACAAAATGGGTTGCGTGTATCTTTAATTTCAACAATAAGTTCTGTACTGTATTACGATAGATTTCAAAATCATAAATTAATATTAGCCTGCAGTACCAAAGCTATTAAAATAAGAATTTTTTTATTGGCTTGCCTACAACTATAATTTATTCCACTGAGAATCAAGAATCAAGAGCTTTATTGTCATTGACCTTGTACAAGGAATAGACATAGTCAACAATAGAAATAAAACTAAAGCTATAAAATACAGTGGGTTCTAAATAAAAAATTAATATTAACATCAGAAACTAAATACTCTGTTATACAGTAATATGGATTTTGGATGAGCCACTCAAACATTTTAGACTTAAACCTATTAAAAGGAACCTGTTTTGCCGCTAGACCTAATTTATTAAAAAACCGTATGCAATTTATTTTATGGCAGTTATCTGTTTTGGCCAATCTATGGGCAGGGATATCTAGATTGGATTTGCCTCTTGTATTTTAAGAGTGTATACTCTCTCTACAAGTGAATTGATGAAGATTGGCTTTAGTGTAGAGGAGTATGTGAAAAATATACAAATTTACTACGGTCATAATATTATTAAGGTTTATAAAAAGAAGTCGACAGCTATCCACAGGGCCAGCCCCACAGATTGTTTGTATGACTTTTTTTTTGTAATAAAAGAATTTCATTGGTATTCATTGGGTATTGGGAGAGTATTTTACTTAACCGTGTTTTGTGTTTGTTTGTGATTTTTCTATCAATTTAAACAAAGGAGGTAAGTTTAGTTTATTTTCTAAAATATAATGCAATTACGACTTCAAAATAATGGGATTGCCCGTTTTAATCGAACTTTTGAGTTATCCGACGTAGGTCCGGTCCCATTAGGGTCGGTTAAGAGGCGGTCTACATACCCAAATGCCTAAACCGATTCAAATTTCATTAAAATCAGTTCAAGCATTTAGGCGTTATAACCGATTCATGGCGACCCAGCACCCTCTTTCGGCCGCCATCTTGATGACGTCATTATGGACGACCAAGGTCCTTAAAAATTGGGGTCTGGGCGGCTTCACATTATCTGTGTATATATTATCAGCATCCCAAGTGGCATGTTCTCCGCCAGAACTGCAATATTTTGTGCTACCCATCCCCACTAATATGTACTATTGTATCTATAAGGAAGAAGAACAAATTCCTTAAATATAACTATACAATTTTATACTCTTATTTTTAAAACCTCCACAGGAGTAAAAAATATCAGGTATGTTTAAAATTATTGTATGGGAGGTATAGCAACTGTGATGTGATGCATGCAATGCTACAGATGGACAGCCTCGCAGAAGTCACCTGTGGTCCGCTTGTTGAGGGTGGCAGTGGTGGGTCATGTGGCAGCCAACGCCATCTTCTCCTTGTTCCTGCTGAGCATCGCGGCTGTCAACTATCCGGGTGGCAAAGCCATTGCACGGCTGCAGAGATTAGAACCTGCAGACTTACCAGTCAATGTACACATCTGTAACCTGGCTGCTCAGACTGGCGTGTCACGCTTCACACAGATATATGACACTTGGAGGTGAGGACTTAAACAAACTTCTCTAATTGTGTATAGTTTTTAAAGCTTTTATAACCAACTTAATACAATGGGATGTGGATAGTTCAAACGAAGAAGCACAACTTGAATTTTATACTTAAGGCAATCAAGGGCTTGAAAATTAAAAACTCACACTTTCAATTGCACAATTGTAATCCTACTAATATTATAAATGAGAAAGTTTGGATGTATGGATGTATGGATGTATGTTTGTGACAAGTGAACGCGAAAAATACTGGTCAGATTGGGCTGAAATTTGGCATGATGATAGCTCACATTCCCGATTAACATATAGGCATATTCTTATTTCAAAAATCCTTTCGGGCTCCGCCCCATTGGCTCTGGAGTTTCTTATTTCTTTTACATTTATGACAACAGCTAATTTGCAACCAAAAGGTGAGTGAGCATAGCGAACGAACTTCAACCTGGAGGCGAGTTAGCGTAGCGAACGAGCTAACCTGAAGGCAAGTGAGCGCAGCGAACGAGCTCCAACCTAAAGGTGAGTGGGCGTAGCGAACAAACTTCAACCAGGACGTGATTGAGCCATGCGAACGAGATAATCTTGAAAATTAAGAAGTTAAACGGGGCAAAGCCCGCGGGTTACAGCTAGTGAAAACATATATTCAGGTAATTAAAGGCATACTTTTTTATCTCGAGTAAACAATTTATAGATCGGTTTGCCGTTTCTTGATTTTACAAGCGTAAACATGTTTATCTACTTTATTTGCTAATGAAGTCATTGGTTTTCAGATACAATAAGACTGAAAACTTAGATGGGAGTCCTGAACTACTCAACTTTACTCATATGATAATTGAGGCTAAAAGTAGATTCTCTCCAAGTGTTAAACCTCTCCTTGATACTCACCAGGTAACAAATAAATATTTTACCCTAATTTAAGTATTGTCTTAGCAAACAAATTCTAACAAAGTCCCTTGCATTTATACTTAGTACCTATTAAACTTTACAAAATTAAAATTTTTCTCTTGAGTATCATGTAATATGTGTACAGTAGATCCCCTCTTAACCAACCCCAATGGGACTGGACCTAAGTTTGATAACTCAAAAGGTCGGTTTAAACAAACAATCCCTAAAATCATAACAAAATGAAGTGTTATTTATTTGAAATTATATATTGTTTATTTTAAAGTCGTACTTGCATTATTTATATAATATTTTATTATGTACTTTGACTAATTTAATACAATTAAATTGTGCACATAATGTTGACTGTGTAGTGTATATTTATTACTGAATAACTTCACATACACATAAATAAAAACAACAACAAATAATTAACTGATCAGCTGGATTAAATAGGGACAGTCTTTGGAAATATGTATCAACTCTCCCCGCTTGAATTTCACATTTTAGAAGCTGATCGATATGCCTCCTCCACACAGTTCCGTCTTCCATTTTGACTTGGTATAAGAGGGTACCTTCTCTTCCAATGATAGTTCCAAAGCTCCATTTCCGTTTAGGACTTGAGTAGTCTCTAGCCTGTACACTGTCCCCCACTTGAAATTGTCTGCGTACAGCCATTGCACTTCTTGCTGACTTGTTACATTGAGGAAGCAATAATCCTAAGTGCGTTCTTATCTCTCTTCCGTACATTAAACTGTAAGCATTTGATCCGGTTGAGTTAGGGGATTGACGAAGTTGCATGAGAAGCCTATATAATTTAAGATCTAGTTTACCTCCTTCTTCTTCCATTGCCTTTAATGATTTCTTTATTGTTTGAACATATCGTTGGGCTTGCCCGTTCGAGGAAGGATGGTACGGCGCAGTAGTTTTGTGCACCACACCATTAGCAGACAAGAACTGTCAGAATGCGCTAGAAGTAAACTGACTCCCATTGTCTGATACTAGAACTAAAGGTAGACCGAATGTAGCAAAAGTTTTCCGAAGTTCCCTGATACACCATTCTGTAGACGTGTTTTTAGTTGGGATCACTTCGATCCATTTGGTGAATGCGTCTACAATAATGAAATACCATTGTCCTTGCATTGGGCCAGCAAAGTCTATGTGTACTCTTTCCCAAGGTCCTTGAGGAGTCAGCCATGGATGATTGGGTTCTTTAGCAGGTTGGTTTTGTTTTAAGCGGCATTGTTTACAGGTGCGTACCAGTTATTCAATGTCCTTGTCGATGTTTCTCCATGTGCAATAGCTTCTAGCAAGAGCTTTCATTTTATCCATACCTAGATGTCCAACGTGTAGTTCTTGAAGCACAGCATGGTGAAGAACTTCTGGTATTATTACCCTATTACCCTTAAATATACACCATCTTGCAGCGTCAATTCATTGTCATGAAAACCCAGATGTTCAACAGACTACCCTGTCTGAAGGACACGTAGCACTGATTGTAGGAACTTGTCTTCAGTAGTTTTTCTAGATATCATTTGACTGTCTACTAGAAACGAGTCCAGCTGGCTGATTTGAAATAGACTACAGTCATCCACATGATTGATTGAAGTGTGTTCAGTTGGGAATCGTGATAAAAAATCAACATTCGCATGGTCTGTAGTTTTCCTGTATTCAATTTGATAGTTGAATCAAGATAAGAAGTGCGCGTAATTGAACAGCCTCGTTGCTGAGATTGATGGCAAAGTCTTGTTTGGATGAAATATTGATACTAACGGTTTGTGATCAGTCACTAGAATAAACTTACGTCTGTAACAATAGGGGAAAAACTTTTTGAGGCCCCAGTATATACCTGTTGCTTCTTTGTCAATCTGACTGTATTTTTGTTCACATTTAGTCAGAGTACGTGAAGCAAAACTAATAGGCCTTTCAGTTCCATCACTGTATCTGTGAGAGAGAATGGCCCCAAGGCCCACCGGTGACGCGTCTGTTGCAAGTACTAAGGGAAGATCTGCATCATAGTGAACAAGTACATTGTCACTTGTTATCTCTGATTTGACTTTCTGGAAACTCTCTTCACATTTAGTTGTCCATATATACTTTTTCCCATTCCGTAGCAGTTCATTAAGTTGGTAAAGGATTGTGGACAAACTTTTAATGAACTTATTATAGTTGTTAGCCAATCCCAGGAACTTTCTCAATTCATTTACATTTTCTGGCTGTTTGCTGTTCACAATGACAGAAATGTTTTCCTTTGTTTTGTGTAGTCCCTGAGCATCAATGGTGTGTCCCAAATATTGGATACTTGTTTGAAAGAATTTGCACTTGTCTCTGTTTAGTCTTAAGTTTTTGGATCTCATTCGCTCTAGTACAGTCCGTAGTCTGGTTAGTAACTCTTCTTCTGTCTTACCTTGAATAATGATGTCATTGAAAAAGCACTGTACACCAGGAATCCCCTGTAAGGTTTTGTCCATAAACTGCTGCCAAAGGGAAGGTGCTACTTTGACTCCACACATTAAGCGATTTACTTTGTACATCCCTTTATGCGTGCTAAGTGATTGCATATGAACACTTTCTTCATCCATCCTCATATGAAGGTAGGCATTAGAAATGTCCAATGTGCAAAATAGTTTGCCTCCATTCATTTAGGTGTAAATGTCCTCAATTCTAGGAATAGGATAGTTTTCATCCTTGATCAATTTGTTCACTGTGACTTTGTAATCAGCACAAATGCGCACTTGACCATTTGGCTTGACAACAGGCACGATGGGGGTACCCCAGTCTGAGTGATCTACTTTGGTTATTATTCCACATTCTTCTAGTCTCTTGAGTTCCTTTTCACTCCTTAGAGAATATGGCACTTGTCTTGGCTTCACAAATATCGGTTTTGCGTCATCCATGACCCTTAATTGTCCTAAATGATCAGGTATGACTCCAATTTTTCCATCGAATACATCACTAAAGTCGCTCAACATGTTTCCTAGACTTGATGTCTGATTCATTTCTAGACTTTTTATTTCACCCCAATCTAATTTGACTTCCCTAAGCCAATCTCTACCAAATATTGCATCGACATTTTGTTTGATCAAAAATAGTTTTCCGACAAAACTTTGCGTTTTGTACATGCAATTCACAAACGTTACACCTCTTGGCTTAATAGTTTCCCCTGTGTATGTACGAAGTTCAACGTTGGTTGAAAATACCTTTTGGGGAATTGACAACTTCTTAAAGTCTTTGTAGGACATATTGCTGAGGGCTGCACCCGTGTCTAGTTCCATTGGTACTGTTTTGCCCTCAATCTTCATGTTTACGATAAATTTGTCATTGCTTCTACTGTTGATGACATTAATGTGAAACTCATTCTCACTACTTTCTTCAGTTTCATATTCTGTTTGATGATTTCTGTACTTTGTTTGCATCTGCCTTTTTGTTTGCATGCATACACTTGCAATGTGTCCCACTTTGTTACACCTTCGACACGTTGCTTCCTGAAAACGACACTCATGTGCCCGATGAGATGGTGAACCGCAGCGATAACATTTTCCTTTGAGCTTTTCAAAAGCTGTTTTGAAATTAGGGCTGTTCGGTGAGGATTTCAGTTGTGTTGGCTTAACACTTTTTTCGTTATTATTTTTATACTTAATCTGATTCAAGTAACTTTGTTCCAACGTATTATGGCTTACAGTCTTACTTTCTGATTTTGCAAGTTCCATTGCTGAAGCAATGTTCACTAAATCTTGATACATTCGTTTTTCACGATCTTGTAATAGTTTAGTTCGAATGTCTACGTCTTTCAACCCCCGGATAAACTGTAGTTTTAGAAATAGATCTGCAACAGATTTACCACAGCAACAATGAAATTCACAATTTACAGTCATCTTCTTAAGAGCAACTGAAAACTCATTCACTGTTTCATGTTCCATTTGATTCCGCGAAATAAATTTCTGTTGTAAAGCCCATTGGCTTGGCTGAGGATCCACGAATTCTTTCAAGAGCTGCACTAAGTCATCATATTGTTTGTCCAAAGAGTCCTCAGGAGTACAAACATCATAGAGTTGTTGATGTAGTTGAGGTGTTAGGGCATGTAGTAGTGTATATACTTTACCTTTAATATCAGGTTCTTGGTTATTTAGATACAAAAATACTTCCAGTCTTCTTATGGAGTTTGTGATAGTTTCTTCGGGGTGATATGGTGTGAAATTAATTCTTTCTGATGTGTTACATAAATGTGTACTGGGTGAAGAAGATGAAGAGGTGTTAGAGTTTTTCTGTTCAACAGCTAGCATCATTTCTTGAAGTGTACGGTAGTTGTAATCTGTAAATATTCATCTTCCATACTGCATCTGCATTCAATTTCTCTACTAAGCTCATCCAAATCTGTGCGTGAATCTAATTCATCTTGTATTTGTTTGTACTTTGTCCAGTATTCGGTAACAGTATTGAGCTTTACATTTAGTTCTGTCGCCGTTGGGTTGCCTTTTAATAATCTGTTTGCTCGTGTAAACTGGCCTTTGACCACCGTTCTTGCTTTGATTAGTTTCTGTAGTGTCTGTTCTTCAGTCATTTTGTTTTCCTCGTCGCCAATATTATGTACTTTGACTAATTTAATACAATTAAATTGTGCACATAATGTTGACTGTGTAGTGTATATTTATTACTGAATAACTTCACATAAACATAAATAAAAACAACAACAAATAATTAACTGATCAGCTGGATTAAATAGGGACAGTCTTTGGAAATATGTATCATATTTACACTTGCCTCCTATTTTTTGTATTGATAGAAAAGTCACAAATAAACACTTACCACAGTAAGTCAAATACTTTCAATGAAATAAATTATCATTCTAGGCAAGAGTCAATAAAAATTCTTATTTTAATAACTTATTTTTAATACTATTTTTAATAACTTTAGTACAGTAATATTATTGATGCTTTCCAAATCTATAGTAATACAGTGTAGATGTTTTTGTCGAAATTAAAGATACCATTTTAGATAAAGATACGAAAAAGCAACCATTTTATTACGAGACAGGACGTTTATTTATAGCCTCTCACTGGAGGCTCCAGTCACAACAACAATCTTACTTTGGAGTCTTTAACCCTCCTCCCCTGCCCTCCCTACAATTTGTGTTGTTTGTTTACTCTAGTTATAAGATAATCAGTTATCAAAATCGTAAAGCACTTAATGATTTGCTCATGCTACAAACAATGATAACAAACTGGCAATAATATGAAATATTTTTTTGGATAAATACAAAATTACTTATTCTTAGTCATATCCTGTGAAGATAAGCGTATGTATCCCATCGCCGAGCGTGGGAACGGAAATGCCGAGATTCTGCTCTTAAAGCAAGGTCAGTTTAAACAAACTGTAATATTTTACGATCGAGGGTGCATAATCCGATTATCGGTTAATGCGAGGTCTGTTAAGTACTGTAGGTAGTAACCTAATGAGTAACAAATCAACAAGTGAGAAATGCGTTCTCAGAGTATGGAATAAACTTAGTTATTAGAGGTGTGCTAGCCTGAGATTATCAATTGAGCCGAGCCATGAGCTTTTTCCAAGCCAAGCTTTTTTCTATCACATGAATTTACGCAATTAAAATAATAAGTTAATCAGGCCTAGTCAAAAAACTTTTTTTTATGCAATTAAATGTTAAGATGTAGAGTAAAGTGAAATAACATTTTTTAGTAGATAAAAGGATAAGACAAAAAACTAAGTTTATAGTAAATTTCACCTAATTTTATTTTCTTCAAAATAAAATTTTTTCTGGAAATTAACGTGGTCATAGATGAAGAATACAAGTGAATATTAAAATAACAAATAACTGTTCCAACAAAAACAAAGCAACTTATTAATTTGTTTAATACTTGAAGTGAACTTACTAGAATTAGCATAAAAGTTATTATTTTTAAGATTTGTAATAGGTAAATATTTTATGATCAAATTACGAGATTTTTTTTTAGGAGGAATAGATAAATTTGCATAAAAATGGAAATGTAAGTAGGTCTACCTAAAATTCTCAAGTGTAAACTAGCATGAGTTTAAACTCGGGGTTAAGCATGTTCGATTTGGTCACCAGTAAAAAGCAGTATTAAATTTAGTACCTATCATAAATCTTTTTTAATTTCCATTCAACACAGTGTTGTGCTGACTATATACCTAAATATTATTTTCAAAATTTTAAATTACATCACGTGAGGTCACGATCAGGGTGAAATCCCCAGTATCTCCCGCAGTAACAGAAAAGTCATCGTCATCGTCCTAAATATCTCCTGTATCCGTCAAGTGATCCTAGGTTGTAGTTGGTTGACTACAGCTGTTTCCTGTTCTCAAATGAACACATCTTCAGGTCAAACGTAGGCCTATCATTGATTTAATCCTACTGTTGATAACATTGATTTAATCATCCACCGGCACCGCACGTGTCCGGCAATTTTTTTTAATTTCAGGTTTTTATTACTATATTTGTGTTTAGGCCTATCAATGTATAATGTTTTGTGTACACGTTAGTGTTAGTTGTGAACTTTTAACCATATGACAACCATTCCATGGATTAAAAAAAACATTATCGGCAGAATAATCAAGAAAATCTTACCTAAGGTTATCATCCTCTTTCACGGTCCCGGAATGTTTAATAATTATTATCATCCACGATGGCGGCAAAATGCTGAATATCTCCTGGCACTGTATGGTCATCAACATCGTTTTCTGCGGTCATGGAAATGTTATCATTGCTATGTGATTGGGGCAAAATCCTGATCATCTACCACAGTCGTTTGGTCATCATCATCGTCTCTCACGGTAATAGAAACTTTATCATTGTCATCTACCATCATGGCAAAATCATGGACATCTTCCGCGGTTTGTAGACATTATTGTTGTCTCCCGTGGTCACAGAAACGTCATCATAGTCTTCTGCGATTGGGACAAAATCCTGGACATCTCCCACGGTTTGTAGACTTTATCGTCGTCTCTTGCGGTCCTGGAAACGTCATCATAGTCTTCAGTGACCGCGGCAAATTGTGGATTTTTCGATCATGGGATTTTTGCAGACACGTTTTACGATCGTGGTCGTAAAAGTTCGGCTCGGCTTGAAAATCGAGCCGCTCGCACACCTCTAGTTATTATATTTCAAATAATTTTGTAAATTTAAAATTCTACATTGGAATTCAGATTTCTCTTCCTGTCCTTTCAGCCATGAGCTTATTATTATAAAATAATAAAGTTAATAACAAGTTTTTGTTACTTCAACATTTGATCAATCAATTGTTTTTCCTAGCCTTTCTAATAATTTTGCTTTTATCTAAACTTTGTAATTCTGTGCAAGTCTCCCTTATTCAACCATCTTTCTTGGATGTTGATTAAACCCTAGTTTATTTTAACCATCTTTGATTGTTAATTTTTGTGTTAGAAAATTAAAATATTACTGAACAGTTTAACAGATATGGGATTGTATTGTTGATTTCCTATTAATGAGACAATCTTCAGTTTTAAGAAATTGTTGATTAAGAAGTGAATCCAAGTGCTTCCTTGTTTTTATGTTTGTTTTTGTGTCTAGGTACTGGATGTAGTGGATGGATTCTCACATATTGGTTTCAACTACAATCTATTCCCTCCAGTAAGAATTAAAACTAAGCCTCAATTATTCATCCTTAAACGAGTATCAAGTAGCAAAACGTTTATTTCAAATAAGTTTCAGAATGCTCCTGAAACAAAAACTGATCATGAAAGAGATGATGTTAACATTAAAGAAAATGCATCTGAAGAAATTACAGTAGAGGAAAAATTAGATGACAAATCCGATGAATCTTTAATATCCAACAGACATTTTGACGAATTGTTTGAAGATAATTTTGAAAAAAATAAAAATGAAGAAGTAGGAGACTTGGTCCTTGAAGAGCAATTAAAGTCTGTTGATGAAAAAGAAGTAAGTGAAGAAGAACCATTGCCCGCATGGAATTTATTTGACTTTGATCAAGATGTTAGTGAGGAAACAGAAATAGATAGTAACGATTTTGTTGAAAACACTGTTCCTGAGGATTTAAAGAGTTTGAATGACAGTAATGATGTAACAGAAACCCGTTTGATGCAAAATGTTAGTGTTGCTTTAAAAAATAATGACTTATTTAGTTCTGAACAAGAAAATCTTTCAACTAAAACCGATTCAGGAGAAAAAGAACAGTTTTTTAAGAAAGAAATTTCGAACACATCAGATCACTTGTTGTCAAACAAAAACATCATAGATGATAACAAATCAAACGAAGAAAACCAATCCCCTTTTTTGTCTCCAACAAAATTCAACAAAAAAGTTCCTCCTTCTAAAAAACAATCAGGGAAAGAACAAAATATCAAAGAAAACAGTAATAAATCAAAACAAATAAAAAATAGCATTAAAAATATAATTGAAAAATACTCTATGGTCCCAAGTGAGAAAGATGGTGAAGCAGATATGAGAGAAAAATCAGAACATGTGCAAAAGAAACTTGTTCCTAAAAATATACAAGCTGAGATGGAAGAGGAAGTATTAGATGAACTGATGCATGAGACTGCAACCCATTCTATAGATGATGAGAATGATCAAGTTGACAATAAAGTTAATACTGTAGAATCAAAACTCTTAGATAATGAAGAAGATCCAGTCTTCATCACTAAACAAAAAAGAGCAAATATCAAATCAAAATTAAAAGAAATAAAATTTAGTTCTGAGACTAACGCACCAGATAACAGGAACAAATACTCACAAAATAATAAATATTTAGAATTAAGAGAGAAAGAAACCAAGAATCAACTTTCAGGGAGTAAGTTAAAGCAAGTAACTGAATATGAAGTACTTGAAAACACACAGCCACAAGATGAAACAAAAAGCTCCAAGACTGTTGATACAACTAATGATGAAATAAAAATTAAGGAAGTAAGCAAAGAGAGCCAACCCACAGTAAAATCCAGCATAGAAGTAAAAATACCCTCTAAGGGTATTAAAGTAAAAATTACTGATGGAAATGTAATTGAAATTTTAGAAACAGACTCAGGGGAATACAATGATGATGTCAAAGTAAAAATAACAGGCTTAGAAGGGGATACTATTGCCGAGGCATATAAAACTGAAGCTTCAAAAATCGATGATGATGATAATGACCTTATAAAAAGCTCATCAAAAGATACTTTTGAAAAAGATTTTAATAAAAGTAAAAGAAAAATAAAATTGAAAATGAGGTAGTAAATCTATTAAGCGATTGAATGTGCTATTACCAAAGATGAAAATTGAATTTGTATCGTGCTCCATAACAAACAAAATAAATGTTGTAATAAACATTGAACCGTTTTGATATGAACAAAAACCTCACAAAAGAATAGAAGAAAATACCAGAAAACTACCTCTACCTAAGCGAATGATCTCATTATACAAACTTAAGTCATTTGAATATCTGCCTTGTGTGGAGTTTATAAAAAAATTTGACCTTACTTTTCCGAAGAGAAAATTCACCTACAAGCTACTTACTGCAATACTATTAGTCAATTATTAACATTGATTTTACTAAATTGGGTTACTGGGGACTCAGACAATGCTTGAACATTACATAAGATTATCTGTTGGAAGATTAACAAATACTTTCGATAGAGTAGCATCATTAGTATAGTCTAGAGCTGCCCAATGGTATTACTCAAAACAACTCTTTTATGGTCTATCAGTAAACTGTTAAAAATCCGTACTATTGTTGGCTTGTAAACTTGTTTTTATAAACAGCTATAATTATTTATATCACATTGCTATTTTTGTAAACAACATGGCAAATCATTGAGCTACTCTCTATTGAAGAGGATAGTGTTGATTTTTAAAATCTAAATATATGACTATAATCGAATAATCCACCAGAAAACTTACAGACCTTTTCTTAAAAAATTATGGAGGGATCGCTATACTATACTCTATTCTCTTTACCATTAGGCAATGTGATTTGTCCCCTCTGTACTAAATATATCTGTAAGTAAACCACCAATAGCCTATTGATAGCTTCAGATAAACATTGATTCATCAGTAAAAAATAGCAGTACCCTTGGGGATAGTGTGCTGCTAGCTTTACGCTTAGTGTCGAGGTATCTTTGGCTTAAATCCTCCCCTTAAAGTTTATAATGGGCCCCTGCATATCGAAACTTTGATTAAAATGTTACTTGTTTGTAACAGTATGAATAAAGTTAACGCTCAACAACAGATGGACTGGAAAAAGCTCAATTTATATATAAGTTCATAGATTTTCTCTCCATGGCTAAAATATTTGTTTACTGATTATGGTTTTAGTTTTGTCGCCTTGACTGGAACATTTAGGCTAGCAACAATAATGTAAAGCACTAAGCTGCAAAAAATTGGCAACACAATATTTTTAATTTTATGGTATTGTAAAATCTAGTTACTGCTACTTTAAATCTACAAAGGTTTCTGTTAATATTAATTTTTGTTGTATTTTATTTAGTTTGATGAAAACAATTTTAAATACCTTATTTATTTGTGCAACTAGTGTGTGAAGTGGCACTTTGCGCTTGTGTTACACATTATATTTTTCCTACAGTTCCTATAAAGCATAGAATTAATTAATCTTCAAACATTAAACAACACTTTTTAGGTTAGGTTAAATCCAAGCGTTGAACGAAATGGGGAAACACTGCACCAGCTGATCGTAGTCGTAGTATCTTTAAGTGTTGCCAAAATATTTTCAAACGTACACGTATTACGTGCCTAATAAAAGTACATTGTTTTTTTGTTGTTTGGTTGGAATACTGGAGTGCGGCAAAAGTAAGTAAATGCAGCTATTAGCTACTTTGCATGCCATAATCAACTAAGCCCGCTTTGTCAGGTAACTGTAGGAAAAAATAGTTTGTGTTGTTCTATATTCAGAAGAGTTGATTAGGGCCTAATTCTTTTTTGCTACAGTACTGTGAAATCACCTGTTTTTGTTTAATGTTTATCACCTACAAAGATTCATCATTAAATTGTTAACTATGCAAAATGATTGTTTACTAGGCAAAAGTAATGTTTACTACAGTATCTTTTTTTTTTGATTATTCTGAAATAAACAAACACAAATTTGTTATCGTTCCATCCACCGTTTCAATTTGCAGCTACCAAAACTGTACACCAAAAATGCTAATTGTAAATTTGAAATTTAGATAGATGGCCTAACCTAAAAATACTATTAGTTTTGAAATATTCCTAACTTTAATAAACAAATAGTCCAATGACTGTTTTTATTAAAAAAATAATTACTCTTTGTAGTGTAGCAAAAAGTAACGTTCAAAACATGAGTGAAAGTGTTCATTACATATTCTCGACCATATTTTAAGTGCTCAATAAATGTCACACTTCAAACATATGGTCTTAAATATGTAATGACTCACTTTCTACTCTTGTTATGAAATGTAGAGGAGACAACTCACAAAATGAGTCACCTGTTTACGTGATATTTGTTGTTATAATATTACAACTTTTATTAGGGTTTTTCAGCTTATTTTACATAACTTAGCTACATAAGCACGTGTGTACCAAGCATTAATAGGTTAACTGATCTTTCAAAGGCAGAAGTTAAGTTTAATATTATGTATATCAGATCTGAGAACGTTGTAAATTATTTGAATTTAAGTACAACCTACTTTTTTGTAAAACATTCTGTGACGACAACTTTTAAAATGCCTATCTTACCATTGTAATAAATGGCACAACTATGTTCCACTGGTCTTCTTAAGCAAAATTATACAAATGGTATACTGTACTAAACATTGACCTCACCCAGACTTCTAGTGTATAACAGAACAGATAAATCACAATTTTTAATTGTACAGGCCAGGAAAAATAAGGCCAAACTGTCAGGGTGTGCCTCATTTTCCACCTAACAATCGAGAAGTTTTAGCTAGCTATTTATTTTATTATTCAGTCTTTTAAAACTTGATGTTGTTAGATAAGAAATTTAAAATGCTAAGTAAAAAGGCTCTTGACATTAAATCAGTCATTAAAAATTTAATTTTAACTATACAAATTATTATTGCCGCTATTTGAAGTTTGTACACCAAAATAGTTTTAAAGATGCAAATTTCAAACACTAAATAACTAAGTAGATGACTCAGTAATGAGGCATTTTGGAGAAGGTTAGGGTGCGTGCACCAGTGAATGACCGTTTAAGTTTGAGTTTTCACTTGTATCCGACATGGGAAAGTAGGCCATTAAGTTAAACACTGTCTCAACCTAAGTTGAGGCGACTACCTGACCAGAGGGTGGAACAGGACAGTGACTATACTGACCCTTCCGACCCTCCGAGTAAATCCCTATGGCCAATAGGCAGGTGGTCATTCACTGGTACTCTTACCCTTTCTTCTATTTTGTTTTACTTTGTCACATAAAACCCATCTCCTAGAGTTTAGGTTTTTACTTACTGGACACCCTGTATATATAAATCAAGAATACAAAGTTGTTTTATCATGTCATGTGGAAGTCATGCTACGATTAAGGTCACAGCACCTCTGCACAATGTGTGAAAGTGGAGCAAACCAGCTAATTACTTAATGAACACCAACAGAATTGACGGATGTATCCGCTTCCTGTCCGCATCATTGCCTGTCCAGCAAGGGTTGTATTATCAAAACTGGATCTCAATAATATCAAAGCGTTCATTTGGAAGGATTGAATGTAATGAAAATTTTCGCACACAAAATGCAATACCCATACTTGCACATGTACAGCCAATCCTGTCTCAATGGCCAGAGATGTGTAGAAACTGATAGACTGCCAGGATCAAAATTGTGAAAACAAAACAAGCACTCAAATTTTAAAACAAATTTTTATAATTGCTTGATGTGCTGCATATGTGCCAAATATAATTACAATAGAAATGTAGATAGATACATTCAAATATGATGGTTTTGTTTTGTATATCATGTGTATTTAAATTTTGTCTCAGAAATAGAAATAGGTTTTTATCATACGGTCCAGAAAACAGCCGTTCTGAGCTCTGTAAATCATCCACAGAATCATTGTTTTTTGGTAACTACAAATGGGGAACAGAAAAAACATATGGTAAATTTTTGGTTCGCTAATCTGAAAATTAGTTTATGGCACATTATAAAATGTTTACTATTTGAAACACACATTATGAAAACCCTGCTAATCACACAATATTTTAAGTTATGTTTGTTTACAACAGAAATGTTAACCGTTTACCCATTTGTAGTTACCAAAAAACAATGATGTTGTGGATGATTTACAGAACTCAGAACAGCTGTTTTCCGGACGACTTTGTTTAACCTCAAATTTTGTGGTCTAATTTTGTAACGATTAGAAGGTTATTTCCACAGTATGATGAAAATAGTTGTTCATCACAATCACACGGAGCGAAAGGGTCTTTTTGGTACTTAATTCTATATACTATTTTCAACAAGTAGTCAATTAATAGATAAAAATACCTATTTTTTGTTAGCCTTTCCATGATGGATGAGATTTTTAGAACAAGTATTGTCAACCATCCTATTACTATGAAAAAAATTATGTTCTTCAGCATTTTACTGGATATGACTGATTTTAGGCACTTGGGTAACCCATTACACATTGTGGGATCAAAATAGAGTACTTTTTCTACCAACCTCTACGGAAATTCTCAGAATGTGAGGCCTCCAACCACAGTGAGTCCTACATGCTGATGGAAAAATGGCAAATATGCCCTTCCTATTGCCTTTTTTGGAGAGCCTTGGAATAAGTTTATAAATAGACTGATATATGCTCTCTCAGCAAATAATAAAGGGAGAAATTTTCAAACATTTCTACAAAAATTCAGTGTAGTATGTATTTAATTATATTAAATTGTTTGGCATTTAGACCTCAAGTACGTCATGATAAAACAAATTGTTTCTGGATAGTTAAAATGACAATACATATATAAACTCTTAACTATTTCAAAATAATAGACATTTATTCATATATTTTTATGAACTATTGTGCTGTGCTGGTAAACTAACATTTAAACTACTTGATTACGGTGATTGATACCGATCTCAATCTCAATCTCTTAGTTTTTGATATAAACTATATGCTTGATAATATTTTATGTGTTTATTTTCTTGCATGTCCCAAGTGAATTACAATGTGCTATAATAAATGTTTCACAGAAATTCTGCAATACAAAATTTAATGTAGGGTAGGTACAAGTACGGTTAAGTAACTTTTTCTAGTCATATGTTATATTGTATTTTTTATGTAAAAGAAAAAACATTAAAAGTCAGCCTTACTAATAGAAGCAAATAATGCACAGAATAATTGAATATTTTGGTTTAATTATTATATACCACCTTGAGAATAGTTTAAGGTTGACACCTTACTATTTATTACACTGATTATTATTAGATGTTTTAACAATATCATCCAATAATAATGATTGTTATGTGGGAATTTATCTAACTCTGCAAACAAAAGTAGAGTCTTGCAGTTTCACAAAACATATCATAAATATTGAAGATTAACTAATTTATCTTTTTAATTATTTATTTTCAACAAACTGTTCAATGCTGATTAGTGTGAATACTTAAGTGAGACTTAATTTTTATTACTGGGTGTTTTAACAGTAGACAGACCCACAAGTAGTACTGTATTGGTATTACAGTAATAACCAATGTTTTGCCTGTGGTATTTTGGGATATCTCCTATACATGGTTTGTTTTGTATATTATTTTGTCTAATAATAGTTTATAATATCAATAAGCTAACACCTATGGTTGTTTTAATACATTTAATGATGTCTGTATAAAATGTTTGAAGATGACAAATGAGTGTGACTTAAAGATGGGTAACTCACCTTACCTCCTGTAGCTTTGATTGTAGCACTTTTAACTACTGTACAGGTAGCCAAATCACTTGCCACTTGCTGGAGTCCTTGGGGACCAAAGGGTTCTGTTTGCTGCTACAGTCATTGCCTTGGAATTTTATCCTCGCTGGTGAATTTAAAACCATTGTATAGTATACATTTTAGGCCCGATTTCACCAAATTCTCGCTAACGATGGCTTAGTTGAACTTCGGTTAAAACTAGCCGATGATTTAAACCACAGTTAAGGAAATCTGGTTTCACCAACGAAAACGTGTCAAAACTAACGCTGGTTTTATAAACGAGAGTTTAGAGTAAAATCCAGGTGGCAGTGGCAGTGAACTGTCATAATACCGGGCTGTTACGGGAGCAAGTAAACATAACCTAGAAAATAAATCAGTGTTTATGAGGTAGTGAAAACAAAACTGGAGACAGCAAGCTTACAGGAATACAATAGATTCTGAGCAAAATAACAACAGAAAGCAAGAATAAATACCAAAACAATTAACATAAGTAAATAAAGGCAAAGCAATGTTGATCAAACATATTCGAGGAACTAATTGGTTGAGTTTTGCGGTCGAGTCAAGACTCAAAATCCAACTTTTCACAGGGATGTTCAATATTCTGTTTGTTCACTAACCAGTTTGGTACATTTGAAGTAGTGAAAAAACTGGAGTCAAAAGAATTACAAGAACGAGACACAATGTAGATAACACCAAAATAATTATTTTCTATAAAATACTAGCAGAATAATGACAATTTAGGTTTAGATTTTGCTTTACTTACGTCTGACCGAACGCAAAACAATTGTTTGAACGTTGGGTTAGGGTTACCCAAAGCCGGGAGAAGGAAAAGGGAGCCTATTTTTTCGAACAATGAAATAATAAATTTGATAATGTTGGTAGAAGAGCCGGGATAAAAGAGTACGGCTCTTGATCGCCAACCAGTTCAATCACAGTCTAATATAAATAAAGTCTGTATAAATTATTTATTGTTAGACTGTGGTTCAATGCGGTCGCTGATCACAGATATACGCCTTAACTAAAAACCTTGTGGGATAACCTAAAGCAATGCACTATGTGGGATAGCCTAAACACAAATACTACAGTGGTTTGTATTCATTCCCTAAAAAAAAGGCTAAACGTTTTGATAGCTCATATCTAATAATAAAATCAATTTCATCTTTGTTATTTAAATCATTAACCCTTTCTCTTATTCACCTAGTTGGTAGAACAACATAGGCTTACTCTTCATTGCCATCACTTACTTTCAAAAGCTAATTCGTACCGTATTCTCTTCTACCATTTCGCCTTTCCATATATACTTTAAACTTAAAGCCAGCTCATATTTACTTAACGAAAGATTAAAGAAGCTAACCGGTCAAAATTGGGCAGTTAATTATCTAACGACGGTTTAGTCTAAACTAGCGCTAACGGCGAGTTGTGAAATCCGATTTTGTCAGTTAAGAGCTAACTGCAGTTAGAGCAAGGCTTAACAGCGGTTTAAAAGTTTGGTGAAATCGGGCCTTAATGGTTAACTTTTACTATTATTTAAACCATTGTAAGTTATCCATATTTTTAGTTGTTTGTTAATATATTCTGTTACGAATGATATAAATTTTATAAAGTGTTGGAGAAACTAACATTTGTAAATTGTATATAAAGAAATGTATATTTATGAAATATGGAGTCATTTTTTTTAACAAAATAAAAAGTTTAAACTCGATTTTATTGAATGTACTAATTGAAATGTTCCTAACAACAATTTAAATTGCCTGTTTTGTTGTGACTAAGATTTTTATTTTTTTTTCATAGAGTGAAGTAAGCAAACTCCCAGTATTTTATTTTATAGAATGTAAATGCAATTTAAAAACGTTTTATTCTTGACATTTTTTTTTCTAAAACTACTCTTTTAGGAGTTGCATCGCTTTAAAACTCTAAAACAATCATAAAATCAGGGTATTCCATAAGAAATAACAAAGTTGTCGGCCATATTGGAAAATGGCAAAAGAATAAAAAGTTAGCAGTTAGCTATTGGTTTACTTCTGGTGAGACACTCTATATATGTATTTATTTATTTACTTACTAGAGAACCCGTGCGGCTCAATGAGCCGCATAGTATGAAACATAACGTTAAGGAAAATGTTATGCTTAAATTTGTGTGATTCTAGTTACATCTTAGAGTTGTTTCAAAACTTGTTATAAATATAAACTAATTTTAAATATCTCTATTTGCGTCGTCAAGGTTCACCTACATTATTTCTGCTGTCAGTTGTAACTGATAACGTCTAATGAATGCTAAACGCTCTGCTTCAATTCTATTCAACTTGTTGCAACATAGTTTTTCCAGTATTGAGAATTGAAGAAAACTGTTGCCTTACTGATAACCTGTGTTAAGTAATTTACGTTGGGTCATTTTATTTCTTTGATTTGAGACATACCCCTAAACCAACAAATTTTTCCCATAAAGAATCCTGAAAAGTGGGGTGATATCAAATATTTCATCATGTGCTCAATTTTGTACCCACAAACTCTGGGTTAACAACTGGACAGCCATAATCTACCTTGAATAGGCTAAAGCAGCAACACCATTGAAAGTTGGTTAACATATTTTAACGTGTTGTCTGTCAGTCACAGTATATGCCCCGCATCAGAACATACTCGCGATGTTCAGAGGAGTCTTTCTTAATACCTATCCCAAAGTTTTTAAAGTGTGGATTCATTTGTCGAAATAGGTTGGATAATACTTGTAGCTATAAGATTTGGATAGCAATTTTCATTTTCTCCTTTTGAACAGCGTATATTATTTGCCTCTTCTGAATCATAAAATAAACTTGACCGTAACTACTCGATCGTTGAATACATAAACACTTATTTCTTCAATTATGTTTGGTCTAATATTGCCACTAAAACTTTCAACAGCAAATGAGTTTTTGAAACTTCTTATTTTGACTTGAAATGTCTGGATTGTGTTGGTCAATTCAGTCAAAGAGATTTGTATAAGTTTGTCCGAGGAACTGGCAACATATCCTAGAAGTAAACAATTCATTTGCGTTTTTTTTTCTTAATTGAAGTAGATGAGCAAGTAATACAAACGTTTACAATAAAAACATAAGGTCCGCCAAGATTTGGTATAATCTTACTACCGTACTTGAACTTATCATAGCCAAGGCATTATTATAGTTTCTACTAAATGTTTTGAAATATCTCGATCTGTCAGTGAAGAAGTAAACATTTCTTGCATGTATTCATTTGATATGACATTGGGCAAGTTTACTTTACCACCGTGACAACACTATGTGCTTTCATATATTTTTTCACTCCCAAAGTAAGTTGCACAGCAGAACTGGCGAACAGTATTCATCCCACCAAGTGAATGTGTTTCTGTTAGACCAGGCCTCTCTTTTTCTACTCTCCTCATTCGCATAAGATATCTTAGTACTGTATTAAAAATTGTCTCCTCCCGTTTTCAATATTTGTTCTTTGAACTCGAGGTATTTTCTGTTCTTCCAAAAAAACTGATTCTGTTTAACCTGGTCTTAACCTAATGACTATTACAAACATAATATTTACTCCCAAAAAGCTAATAAATTTATTTTTATAAACAGCTGATTTTTGTTTTTAAATTTGTTCTACGTATTTCTTATGGGGAAAACCCGACCTTTGAGAGGGTCTCACACCCTTAAGGGTAGGAATTTTAAAATTCTAAAACCTTATTGCAAAACTACATATTGAGACAAATCTTTTGACACCTTAAACGTTGAATTTGGTCCACAAATAAGGGAGGAGTAGCGTTAAGAAGGTGATGACCCTGAATACGCACAGATATATATAAGTAAGTACAACAATGTCACTAGAACCCAAAGGAGAACTAAGCACAAAAAAAAAATTCAATGAAAAAATATGCGGGAAATAGGGTCACTATGCCAACCCATTTGCAAATCTTTGAAGACTGTGGCAGACATTATGTAGGGACGAGAGCTCCGAGGAGTCAAGTGAGATTCTTATGTACATATAAGAGACAAAAGAAGTGTCTTCCCTCGCTACAATGGTGCTACCTGTGTAGATTTTGCAGCAATTTTTAAAGCTGAAAACAAAGCACCACCTGGCCAAATAAATCGTATAGTTTTTTCCAACACTAATAATGTTAAACGCGTATCCATTATATCTGTCGTTAGATCCACTTGCTTACCCTCTTATGTTCCCAACCGGAGACTTGGGTTGGGGCCCCTAATTTAAATACGCCTAAAACAGAACACATCAAAGAAATAATTTAACAATGCTAGAATAAGAGTAGTGATGGTTGGCGTCAAGAGAGGAATTGAGCTTTAGGTCAAAAGCTCAGTGTGTGGTTGACATCTACGTGCTCATAGAGTGCACCCGCCTACTATACATAAGAGATAACCAAAGCAGTATGAGAGTGAATGTAAATTTAAATATTATAGATTGCTTTTATATTTTTATACATCATAATATTTTTATATTTCTATAATCAGTCATATAAATTATTTTAGTGTGACTCTTTGATTAAGGTCTTGCTGTTTATGTTTTTTTTATAGGTACAAGTTTCAGTTTTACTCGATTTTGAGCAACAGGTTATCTAGTATATATAGATACTTGAACGAATAAGTATTTTTGGTGTCTGGGAAGATCAAAATGGTGTAATTCATACCATGCCACATATGGTAGTATCTTATCCCCATAGAATAAATTCACAAAAAATACTAATATGGCCAATCCAAACAATTATTACCCCTGCTAGCTTGTTAACACGTTCACTGCTGAAAACCTTTATACAGGTGCTCCTAAACTGCGGCGAGGCCCGGGCGGAGCCCCGACACGTTAACTGAATCAGCGATCGCTATTGGTATTGAAATATCTCATTAAGACGAATCACAAAAGAGCAGTGGGGATTGTTCTGCGTTACCCAGAAAGTGGACGTAGTTCACTGAAATACCCAAAAGTAGGCAGCACTGCATGGATCAATAACCAGAGTCTTTGTAATATGGCTCGAATAGAGAAAATCCCCGAAAACGGGACAAAAGCATTGCCAGACGGGATTTTACGGGAATGTTTGGTACCAACCTACACCAAAAGAAAGCTCGCATTCTACGCTACAGGCTGGCAACAATTACAACGATTCCCGGCAATGGCTGAGCTCACATTGAAGAAAAGTTGTTGGCATTGGTAAAGGACGTGATTTCCCGCCCCACACCAGTGGTACCGCGGGGCGAGAATTCCCGCCCCTCGCACTGAACGCGTTAAGCAACTCATTTTGTTTTAGTCCTAATCATAGATTGCATATAAATTTTGTAATAACTGAATAGAGAGCTCAAGGCTACATGGCTACATGCAGTTAAAAAAACATTGAAAACTGGGAGCCTTAAATTCAGAACCTTGTTTGCTCTTGTATCATCATGTGCCTTAGGTTGATTACAGAGCTATTCTATATATTTAAAACAATTTTAGTTTATAAATTTTGTAATACGTAAGTGAACTTTATTTCAAAACAAAATATAAATACTGTAGATAGCTACTTTAGTTATCTTCTTTAGGCTTATTAGTGTGAGTGTGAGGGTGACTCATATCATAAAAACACTTTAAGCTTCCTACCACCCCTACAACAGCTAACACCAAGGTAGAGTAGTAGAAGACTTTGTCCACAAACCCCCTCTTTATGTGTACCGGTACTGGACATCCATCTTTTCTCTGCACAAAATTATCATGTTAGGGGTTATATGGCTGATATCTTCATGTAAATAGAAATAAATACTGACGTAGTATTTTACATGCTGTTTACACAAAAAATTAACTAAATTATTTTTACAATTTAATCTACTGCTTTTAAAAATCAATGTATAACCAAACAGGTTTTGTATTCATAACTTTATTAAAAAAATAAGTGTCTAAAATTACTCTTATTAATTACAAAATAATTAATAAATGCACGCATCTTAACTCAACACAAAATCTAATTCATGAATGTTTATAAAACAATAACAATAGAAAAACACATGATAGTAAAAATAGGTATAAATGAATTATTAACAGTCTTAGAGAAGACATAACAGTCTTCCCCACTATTTTGAACTTGCAGTGTACTATTATGAAAGCACAAAGTCCTTTGTATCGGCCCGGCATTTGCGGGTCTATTGCATTCACTCCAAAATCGTTCACTCCAAAAAGTATTTTTACAATTTATTTGCCTGTTCGTTCACTCCAATGTTCATTCGATCCAAAGGGTACAGTCAGCTCCAGAAGTAGACGGGCCTGTGGAAAATACAAATTTTAAAGTGTACTGTACATTGGATCGAATGCACATTGGAGTGAACGAGCAGTATTATTGAAATATGTAATCATAGTAAACTGTCAAACTGTTGCATTCACTCCAAGATCGTTCGCTCCAAAAGTGATGGGTGTTGCGTTTCCCAATCTGCAGGCTCGCGGCACATTTACTGTCTGATAGTGGAACAAGACTGACGTATAAAAAAATGAAACAAATCTTGACCGAAGAAAAAATCATCAGTGGCACGTTCAAAGGAGATATAATCTTAATCCAATCCAAAGAATACCGATGATTTAATCTGAACCCCCATTTGAATTTAAGTGTCTACAATTTCCTTTGGTTCTTGTTTTTTTTAGATTACGATTAATAAGGCACAATGGCATCCCTGAGTATCACATGTTTAATTTTAGGAAATGTATGATTTTCACACAAA